GCTGTTATTGTGAAGTGGAAACGTCTAGGAGCAACAACGGCTCAGCCGCGAAGTGATAGGCCACACAAGCTCACAGAACGGGAGTGCTGAAGCACGTAGCGTGTAAAAATTGTCTGTCCTAGGTTGCAACACTCACTACCTAGTTCCAAACTGCCTTTGGAAGCAACGTCAGCACAATAACTGTTCATCGGGAGCTTCATAAAATGGGTTTCCATGGCTGCACACAAGCGTAAGATCACCATGCGTATTACCAAGCGTCAGCTGGAGTCATGTAAAGTTCGCCACCATTGGACTCTGGAGCAGTGGAAAAGCGTTCGCTGGAGTGATGAATCACGCTTCACCATCTGGCAGTCTGACAGACGAATCTTGGTTTGGTGGATGCCAGGAGAACGCTACCTGACCCAATGCATAGTGCCAACTATAATGTTTGGTGGAGGAGGAATAATGGTCTGGGGCTGTTTTTCATGGTTCGGGCTAGGCCCCTTAGTTCCAGTGAAGGGAAATCTTAAAGCTACAGCATACAATGACATTCTAGACAATTCTGTGCTTCAAACTTTGTGGCAACAGTTTGGGAAAGGCCTTTCCTGTTTCAGCATGACAATGCCCCCGTGCACAAAGTGAGGTCCATACAGAAATGGTTTGTCAAGATCGGTGTCGAAGAACTTGACTGGCCTGCACAGAGCCCTGATCTCAACCCCATCAAACACCTTTGGGATGAATTGGAACGCCGACTGAGAGTCAGGCCTAATCGCCCAACATCAGTGCCCGACCTCACTAATGCTTTTGTGGCTGAAGGGAAGCAAGTCCCCGCAGCAATGTTCCAACATCTAGTGTAATGCCCTCCCAGAAGAGTGGATGTTATAGCAGCAAAGGAGGGGACCAACTCTATATTAATGCCCTTGATTTTGGAATGAGATGTTCGACGAGCAGGTGTCCACATACTTTTGGTCATGTAGTGTACATGCACATGCCCACTGTCTTGTTTTTTTTATGTGTTGCTAGATGTTAAGCAGAGACTTAAAACTTGTCGTTATCTCCCCTCCTACAGCAGGGCTATGTCCTCGGCAGCCACCACACCTCCATCTGTGGACAAAGTGGACGGATTTTCACGGAAGTCTGTCAGGAAGGCCAAGCAAAAGCGGTCGCAGAGTTCATCCCAATTCCGGTCTCAGGGCAAACCCATCGAGCTCACGCCCCTGCCTCTACTCAAGGGTAAGTGTTTAATTATGCATACCTCAAATCTTCCCACGTAGTCTCTATCCCTAACCCTCCATCTAACCGTCATGCTAACCTGTGAGTGGTGTGATGTGGGAGTGTGTTTAGTAGTGAATGCTGATACCAGCATGTTCGGAAGAGAGCAGAGAGATGTCATCTATCCTTATTCTTGCTCATCCCTTCTCTTTGCAACTCTCTTCATGAGCCAATGCCCAGTGAATGAATGAAATAATGAGTGTGTGAGCAAGCGTATGTTTATCTCAGTCCCTCTATCAGGGATGCAAACTCGTCACTTTTTGACGATATTTGCTGTTTTGATGTCAAAATAGGTCATCCACATGAATTGTGTAGATCCGTAAAAAGAAAATTGTGGTGGGGGCTCACAAAGTGCGCAGATGCAGTGTATCACCCATTGAGCTATAAAGGAGAGGTGCAAACAGATCTTCTCCCTGTGTGATTACCACCAGAGATACTGGATACAGTGACGGGATGCTTGTGTCTCCTCCCTAAACAATGGGATTCGTTGTCCACAGAGCGGAACGGTGGGCTGTCAAGTTCCCGCCTGTTCCTCTCTTTGTAGAGAGGGCGAATGCACGGGCTGCTGCGTAGTCACAATGGGAACTCTTTCTAGAGTACCTGGTTACATTGTGCATAACAGTAGGATGTTAGGTGACGCGACAAACAATGAACGCTATGCGTTCTACAAAAAAACAGCAGTAATCAAATCAATTTAAACTAAATGTCAATAATGCGATCATCAAAATACATAGTAAATCGTTTGAGAACATGAGCATAATATGGATAATATGTGTTTCTACATTACACAAGCTCACGTTTTGAACACATCGAATTGGGGGAATTACACATCCTTTTTACCTCAGATTGATGATGTTAGTATGAAAGTTTATAGTAATCGATTTGTTGTAAATGTTTCCTACCGCTTATTTTGTGTGATTTACATTTATATAGTGGAATCTTACATGCCATCTCACATTGTGGTACATAGTGTATTACAATTTTTGAGCCATTTGCATGGCCAGGAAAGTGCAAAAATATTTAATTAAAACAACTCAATCTATTTGTGTTCGTGTGTTTGTATGTGTGTGGGAGAGGGAAGAGACGCTGTAGGCTACTGACCTTGGATTGACCTTAATCCCCAAATAACTGCCAGGTGTGTGTTTGAAGAGAGTGGTGGGTTGTCTGTGTTTACATTTGTATCTGTTCCACTGGCTTTCATGATCTGTCTAGTTAAATAAAGGCTAAATAATATAAATCTGCTTTAATGTCTATTTTATCCAATGAGGTGCTCAATGTGCCCCACTAAACTAATGCACTGCCAGGGATAGTTGTCACTTTGGTTTGTGGGGAGAAGGAGATGGCACAGGGACACGGCACCAGTGGTAGTATGGAGGTAGATGGTATGGAGGGTAGGGGAAGTCAGGATTTTGCTAGTTGGTTTGATTTGTCTATTGAAAGGCCATGTAAGGTTAGTGTTGACTAATGTCATAATGCTGGAGATACACAGCTGGGCTCGGGTGATTGTCCCATGGTCAGAGTTTACAAATCAGTGAAGGTACTGTATCAGATGTTGTTTTGGAGAAACTTGGTCGGTCACAGGTTGACAGGCTACCAGGTGCAATGTTCTGTAAGTAGGCCTCCATGGTTGTGGAGGCACATGTTTCATTGCAACATGGTGGTGAAGAAGATCTGGTTCGAGAGCCGCGCTACAGACCTCCAACTCAATGTGAACCTTGGTGTGCTTCCCATGTTGAAGGAGTACGTTATGGTTTCCCAGGTGCGTATTTTCACATTTTAAGTGAATTCTAAATTCCTAATGGTTAAACAAATGGATATACTAGGCCTACCCTCTCTGGGACTCATCAGTTGGAATGACTTCTAAGCAGAGCATTTGCCCTTAACTGCAAACCATCTCTCTGTGTGGTCATCAAATAGATGGAGTAGAATTTTACAATAACATGCCATAATTAATTCACAGGGCAGCCAAACCCTTGTCCACAAGCTGCATGACAAGCAGCTTGAAGTGATCACCACTTTCACGGTGTGCTTCCTCAGGGCTGAGCATCTCCACACCACACCCAAGAAGCTCATGGAGATGGACTTCATTGACAAGATGCTGCCTTCCATAGATTTAAATGTTGGACCTGTGTCTGAGAAATTTAAGGCAGAAAATCCAGGACATCCGGTTAGTAAATGTATAACAATAATGAGAAATTAAACATGAAACACTTTTTCTCTGGGTCTGTTTTCATTTACTATCTATTTTGTCATAATGTTTTCCAGATTGTGCAGCAGTTTCTTGACACGGTGAAGACTGCATACATGTCAACTGCAGCCTACATGCAGAAGAAACTGCCCCTGGACAGCAGGACCCTGCAATCGCTCTCTGCTCAGGACCCAGTGGTGAGAGGCCATTCACAGACTGGCATCCTGCTGAAGCGGCTTGTGGGGATGATATGCCACCCAAATTTGATCTCCCACTGGAAGTAGTGAAGTTTAATGTGGACTCCACCCTTCCCCCTTACAAGGATGGTGAGGACAACATGGTCAAGTGGTGGGGCCTGAACCAGATTGTACTAGGGTCTCCCTCAATCTTCCATGGTCCTATGGTGTAGTTTTCGTTTAATGTGATGGGAGAAATCATAGACCAGAAGAGCACCAACATGAACATGGCTACCTTCAATGCAATTCAGACCACCAAATATATCCTCAGGTCCAGGAGTCTGACTGCCTTACAGATGTTCCAGAAAGATGACGTCAAGTTGAGCAAGGTTGACAAGGGACTCTAAGAACATCCACACTACAGGAATGAAGGACAAATCTTAGAGACAGGAGAACCTGATGAAGAGGGGGGAGTATGGTTGCCAGCCAACATCCAGTGCCCTGCAGACCAGGAAGACTGCAGTGGAGGAGGAGAAGCAGGCCAGACTGAGGCACACAGCTAAACAAAAAAGAAAAAGAGCATAAGAAGTGTTAGTCAAGACAAAAAGGAAGAAGGCTAAAATGTGGACTGTAGGTGAGTGTAGGCTAGACATGTGAGTGATAACCTGTTTCTGTTATATGTATTATATTGACTCTTGTCTGGTGCTCTCCCACTGTCACTGTTCCTGTTCCACTGGCTGAGAGAGCAAAGGAAAACTTAGCCTAGGAGAAGGTGGCTGCTAATGAGTGAGTGTAGGCTAAATATGTGAGTGAAAACCTGTTACTGTTTATTTTGAGCTTCAAAATAAAATAATTGTCTTAAAAAGAATGAGTTATGAGTTGTGTGTGAGGTATACTGACAGGTCAGATTCTACTAAGAGGAGACTGAGTTGTGCTTAATGTTGGATAATAATTAATTTAGCAGATGGGTAGGCCTAGTCCTTGACCTTCACCTTGCAGTGCTTCATTAAACCCACTGGAAAATGTATGTCCTCAACAAGAAAATAAGAAAATCCTAACTCTGTCTGGGGAGACTGAGATTTATCATGTCATGATAAACCTTAAAGGAGTATTGACATTATTCAAATATGTATTATGCACTTGTTATTCTCTGAAAATATACAAATTTTATGCAGAAAAAATGTCACCTTTTTGGACCGTCACCAGTTTGCATCCCTGCTCTATTGTAGCGTATACGCCAGTGTTTATGTATGCTGCTGGTTGTATGTGAACTGCATGCCCAGACAGGGAGGCAGCCTGCTGCTAATTCACAGGTGGGGTCAGTCCTCCTCTCCTGCATGCCTGGCTCTATACTGAGAGGTTGAGACTAGAGAGTGACGGGCGGAATGCAGCCTGACAGGAACCTGAGCCCAGCCTGCCTCCCCCGCCTCAACCTCCTCAGCCAGGGTGTGTGTCCCCCCTCCTGAAGGTGTGTCTGCCACACGTGTGTCCTATTGGGCGTGGCATCACTTCACTCTCTTCTCCACTCAGGGCCACTCTTTAGTTTGTTTGCCTGGCTGTGGGTAAGTCACATAGTCACCATTATCAGCCAGTGCAGCTGCAGAGCAGAACACAGCAGAGCTCTGGGCAAGCAGGGTGCAGTAGTCCGCTCAGCTTATGTCCTGTTCTTCCTCTCCTCTCTCAGGACGAGGTGAGTTGCTGTCTCCTGTTGACGTCCTGTAGTTAGTCAGAATGATACTAAGCCCAGTCACGCTCTATGTTCTGGATGTGTGTTTGACTCTGCTCTGCATTCAGGCCCCAGTGAGGATGATGGGGTTGGGCAGCATGACTGTGCCCTGTGTGCACTATTTAACATCCATGTTCTTATATAAACACCTGCATAATAAAAGGTGCAGATCTGATATACTGTGATTTTCTCATCATATTGGCCACCATGATTTTAAATGGTTAAACCTAAAGATTGTCATCTTTGTAAGTGCCTTTTAAAATGTGATTCCATGTTAGTGACAGCTTTTTACCTGTAATCTCCTATATTATTTATTAAGGGGGCATTAGAGCTCTGTTTTTTTCATCAATAACTACAGTACGGGTAGGGCTCGGGTATCACTAAATTGATTACTAACATTTTGAAGCTCAGCCATTTGTGTGTGCTGTGTTGCGCTGTACAGTCATATCAGTTTAAGATCATAACATGGTGTCAGAAGTGCTTCAACATCGTCAAATATAAGACCGGAGAGATTATGTCACAGAAAATAATAATGTTCCTTGAGTTTTGTCAGAGTTTAGAGTGACGAAAAGTAGCTAACAGCTAACTGCTGTCTCATGTCTCTTTGTTGAGCAGAGCAGCCCAAGCGGAGCCGTTGCTATGGATACACAGAGCCGTCATGAGCAGAGCGCAGGGAGTGATTGACAGAGAGGAGGAGCAGCAAATGGATTTACTAACTGAGGAAGTTATTTCTGATTTCGGGCAGGGCTGGGCCTTAAATTTGGTAGAAGCAATCGGGCCTGGGTAGGGCCTGAACGTTGCAGGCATGGGTAGGTGTTCGGGCTTAAAATGCATGCCTGTGCATCGCTCTAACAAGCACATCACCACAGTGAAACGCAGAGCCTTAATACATTGAAATGGTATCTACCATCCTCCTTCCTGTGAAGTGATCACAGATCTGACATGACTGGATTGATGAAAGCATTTGAAACCCTTCTGATATCACCTATCCATTCGTGTTGGATCTGTGCACACTTGGAATACTTACAAGGAGTAGAGGAAGGAAGGATGCATTTTCAAAATATTGTAGTCGGGTCTGGGACCATGTAGACAATAGGAGGAAGTAGCTGTTGGCTGACTGAGGTGTTGTGGCTTGGTGTTAGGTGAGCTGCACTTATTCTATCCAACCAGGTGGTGGCGACTGGCGCTGCCTCGTCCCTCCATGCTGCGCCACCACACACCCTCAATCATCGACTGACTGACTGACCTTTGACCCCTAAGGAGGAGCACTCCATTTACGCAGTCAGTGAGAGTGAAGAGACGGGGAGGGCGGCCTATCAGACTTCGCCTGCAAGTCACAGCCAGGGAAATAATATGGTTTTCCTGTAACTAGATCTGAGCCTCCTATGTTGATTCAGTTTGTTTCTTGAAATTGGAAAGGGGACAGATTTTCACCCCATATCAACAAAGACAATAGAAATAAACATTCTTAGTTTGCTAGGCTGCAGTTCAGAGCCCATGGTCCCAACAAGGCAGTCTTTTTATTCCTAAATGTTGTTTCAGGTAGTTGTTCCAGGCCTGCGTGGATGTCTCCCTCAGTGTGCAAGTCAAGAGATTTGTTGCGGTAGCTCTTTAAGAGCCTCCACAGGAAGTTAGAGGGATGGTGAGAGTGACAGCGAGAAAGAGGGAGTAGTGATGAGCCTGGCATGGAGCCTGAAGAAAGGATTAGTGTCCTAATGTTCCATGGCAGAGGGAGGAAGAGGAGGACGAAGAGGATTTTCCAACACTTGGCCAGGTCATGGCAAACCCTTTCCCTTCCTTCCACATCTACTAGGTGGAGTGGAGAATCCCTATATTTCCTCTGTTTACCGGAGTCTTCAAGGTGGAGTGATGCCTACGTTAAGGAAGTGAGCTGGCGAGATGCCTGTTTTAGGACCACCTCTCTGTGCAGTACGGAAGACAGATCGCTGTCTCTGACCTCGTGAGCAGAATTTAAAAAAAGAGGGGAGCAGAAATAGAATGAAGACAGGGACATGGTGAAAGGGGAGTTAGGGGGAACAGCACCGGCCATAGAGCTTCTGCCAGCCCCTCTGTCTGGTGGTTCCTGGCCCCCCCAACGCTACCTCTCCCCCCTACGCCCTCCCCTCAGGGGTAACCTGATCCACAAGTTGTCTCTTTACAGATTTCCAGTCCCACTCGCTCCAAACCAGCAGCACCGGGGAGTGTGCCCACTACAACAAACTACTATTTTTCACACCATCATGATTTGAATAATTTTGCCCCAACAAACTTTTTTTTTTGGCTGGTGGACTCTACAGAGGGACTGAAACCTGAGAGTGAGTGTCCGTGATTCTGCTGGGGGTGGGGGAGTGTTATCGTTAAACTGCTAGGGGCCCTCTCTAAGGCTTGGCTGGCTGTGCTGGTATGTCTGTCTGTGGGGCTGAGTGGAGAGTATATAAATGGACTGTGGAGATGGAGTGGTAATGGCAGGGGGACATGGAAAGAGGGTTTGACTGAGCTTTGAAGTGAGATGTAGGATAAGGGTGGAGCTGCCGGTGCAGCAAGCATCTCGCTAAGGAATGCTGGTGTAGAGATGTGTATTACTGTGGATGAGCAGTGCAGTAGCTTCTCTGTTTGCCATACAGCAGCATTCCTCCTGTTGGCTGTCTGTCTGCCAGAGGATGTTGTGGTAGCCAGGCAGGTGTTACAGCAGGCAGCAGACTGACTGTGTTGTCATGGTCTGTGCCGCTGCTTGCAGGTGATTTCAGAGTTGTGCTTGTTAAGGGCGTAGTGTGGTGGCTATGGCTGGTGGAATGCTTGCAATGTGATTCACCTGAGCACGCTGCTGCTGGCCCTCTAACCTGACCCTGTGTGCCTTTGTGTGGACAGCCCCAGATTACCCACACTGCCTTTGAAATGAGGCACAAGAGAGATTCTCTGCTACCAAGAGGTGACAGTAGCTTTACAATGCCTGGGATGCTTTCAATGGCCAAAGTTAAAATGACTTATATGATCTCTATCGGCCTTGTTACTATAGTGGAGAGCAAAGTTAGCGTAGGGTGATTATATTTGTCAATGATTGACAGTACATGGCAGTGTAACTCATAATAAGGCTTCTTGAAGCTGCCATATCAGAACACATAGAGATAACAGAAAATAATGTGTCAACTTCTTTCATGGTGTCATTCAATTGTATAGCGTATTGGTTGACTGAATATTGGTTGACTTTTTAAATTCCTTTAAAACAAATTATATAAAAGTCTCAATGTAGAGATGATGGGAACACAAACAGGAAGGGCTCAGGTAGGAATTGAATCCCTGTTGCAAAGCGGGATGTGTGGTCCAGAGTAGGTTGCGTTTCTGCTAGACCAGACTGACCAACCATTACCTGGTTTGTTGTCTAATCTACAGCTCAGAGACAATGGAGACTATGTGTGGTTCTCCCTCTGTGTGGCAGTGTTGATGTGATGGTCTGCCTCCCTGTGTATACATACAGTACATATCATACATATCGGCCTTCAGTCTCTGGCACGGTGTTGGCCTGGTCACCTGCTGAGCCCATCTGTTGGAGCCGCTCACTCTCGCCTGCAACCGTAACCCAAGCCAGCCAGCGTGTATAGTGTGGCCGGGGTTTTCCCCTTAGACAAGCAAGCAGCAGACTTTGTGTGAGTGTGTGTGTCGGCTGCTCTGAGGGACATAATTGTTACTCTATACCTACACTCACTTCCTGGATTTCTGTTTCCACTAAAAACGGTGACCACTAAGAATAGTCTGCTACATTCTGAATAAACTCCACGGATGATGGGTTTTTTATTAAGTCCTAAAGCAAAGTACTTGGTTTGAGTCTTAAGACCTGGGCTCGGCAAAGTGTTCATTTGCGTTACTTCCATGTGAATTTCAACTCATTGTGTCTGTTAGCTTTAGCATCACTTGACTGTAACACTGCTGGTCGTTCATTTTCAGGGATGGCCTACCAGTTACAGTACTACGGAGTACTCTGTACAGTACAGTACTGCTGAGTACTCTGTACAGTACAGTACTGCTGAGTACTCTGTACAGTACTGTTGAGTACTCTGTACAGTACTACTGAGGACTCTGTACGGTTACAGTACTACTGAGGACTCGCTACAGTACTTACAAATGTTGCTACTGCCGTTGTGATTGGACTTTCTCTGCCTGCAGGTCTCTGTTTAACCCATCTTTTTCAGTCAGGTAAAAAAGGTGACTGTTGGGCAGGGCAAGGGGACTGAGACACATTGGGCTGAGATGGGTGTGTCAATCATGACTGATGTCATATCACCATGTGGTAGAGCAGCATTGCACAGCAATCTGAGTCTCTGAGCCCACATAGGGCTTTAAGTGATTATGAAATTAACTTAGAACATTTCCTGCGGTGAGCCATTAAACTACTCTCTCTCTGAGAAGCTCAGCTTTCTCCACATTAATTAAGCAGCAGTGTCTTTATTTAGTCTGCCAAGGGAGCTATGATGATGCTCCCATCCCTGTGCTGAGGCTTGTCAGTGTGCTAGACTGAACTATTCTGTGCTGACCTAGTCTGGTGCTGGGCAGGGTGATGTGGTTAGCTGTGCTCTGGGATTGGCATCTGAATTTTAGATGTCATTTTTTAAAGATTTTAAGATAAATGTTAGTGAATCAGGCTAGATTACATGGTGCTGAATGCTGCTCTGGGGGGAAATTGGGATTGAGACCTGCTGAATGCGTCATCTTCAGTGGTATGAATCTGGGCCCAGTAGCCCAGGGTTGCGCTAGGGTAGTCTGACAGGGATGGGTTGGACTCTCACCTATTTTCCACTACTAAACTATACATACTTTATTACACATTGGAATCCTGGACTTTACTGTGTTGGTGTGTGCCATGGGCTGGGCATGGACATGTACTCAGTATTGTGATAAACTCAGGGATGGGCTGGTATCTCAATGGTACTGGCCAAGACTGTGTGCTCCATGCCATTCTAGGCCGTGCTCCCTGTCATGTGTGGCACTGTTGTGGTCAGCTGAGCTGTGTGCTCACTCCTGGATGGGCACTGTATGCTTTATTGTTATGGATAGGGCTGTCCTGTTCAGTGCTATTTTTAATGTATTATTATATATATTTTTAACCCTGCCACCCCTCCCCTGATTGGAATAAACTAACGGACAACAACACTTCTGCTACTTACAGCTATTTTCGCTCACATGTACGGTACATGTAGTTAAATAATTATACATATATTCCTAATTTCCTCTTTCTGCAAGTGTTAGATTTTCACCCACTGCGGCCAATCCTCCATTCATTCTGATCTTAACCCCAACCCTCCGATGTCCACAGATTAACCCAATGGAGGGATGCAATACATCCCTCCATTTTAATGTGATGTCTTACGAGGGTCCTGAACCTCCCTATTTGTAACATTTCTACCGATACTTTACCTAAGAGCGTATTGATATTTCCCATTGACTGATCGTGGTTTTTCAGATCCCCTAACAATACAATTTGCAGGTCCATCTGAACCCTGATATTATGACATAACAACCACTCCTGGACCTGACTCCAAAAGCGAGCCACCGATGAACAGTACCAGAAAAGATGATCTAGTGAGTCTGTTTCCTCATGGCAGAGTCGGCACAAAGCTGACTGTTCAATGCCCCATATATTGAGCATTATTTTTGTAGCAAGTTATTGTATCTAATATCTTAAATTGAAACGAACAGATTGATGTCGATTGTTTTATATATCAGTTTATAGACCTGATGCCAAGGTATTGGGACATCAGAGACCTGTTTCCCAACGGACTTGAATCTTATGTGGCATTGCTGTCAAACCTTTTGACTTAGATTTATACTAATCATTTTAAGCTATTTGTTTTTTAATGGGTGGCAGACAGACTCATTATTTCATTTCTTCTTTACGTTAATTGCCTCTTCCAATTTTGTTGCAGAGCAGTAATGAGTTGGTTATACTTTTGTATTAAGCATACACCTCCATACACTGTTGCTTTTGTGACAATTTTACTGTCCTTGTTTACAATGTCCTTCATAAATATTATAGCCATATTATTTGCTGTAATATTTGAGCTGCCTTTTCTGGATGATGAAATTGAAATTGTAGCCAACTCTGTATGGCTTCATTTAAAAAGGAGGATACTTTAAACAGGGATCCTTTGTCAATACACCGAAAATGTGCGGTTTTAATCTGTAAAAAGGCAAAGAGCCTACTCTTAAACAGGATGGGCCTCTCTTAGTAGCCTGCTGGAAAACCAGTTTGGATTAAGATATAATATTGGTATAATGGAGGCTTTAAGAAAGGTTTAATGCCTTAATATTTAATAGTTTTAACCCTCCAAACCCATGTTCGTTATATACAGTGCATTTGGAAAGTATTCAGACCCCTTGACTTTTTCATCATTTTGTTACGTTACAGCCTTATTCTAAAATTGATTAAAATGTTTTTTTCCCCTCATCAATCTACACACAATACCCCATAATGACAAAGCAAAAACATGTTTTTAGAAATGTTAGCTAAAACATTAAACTGAAATATCACATTTACATAAGTATTCAGACCCTTTACTCAGTGCTTTGTTGAAGCACCTTTGGCAGTGATTACAGCCTTGAGTCTTCTTGGGTATGACGCTACAAGCTTGGCACATCTGTATTTACGGAGTTTCTCCCATTCTTCTCTGCAGATCCTCTCAAGCTCTGTCTGGTTGGATGGAGAGCGTCGCTGCACAGCTATTTACAGGTTACTCCAGAGATGTTTGATTGGGTTCAAGTCCGGGCTCTGGCTGGGCCACTCAAGGACATTCGGAGACTTGTCCCGAAGCTACTCCTGTGTTGTCTTGGCTGTGTGCTTAGGGTCGTTGTCCTGTTGGAAGGTGAACCTTCGCCCCTGTCTGAAGTCCTGAGCGCTCTGGAGCAGGTTTTCATCAAGGATACTTTGCTCCGTTCATCTTTCCCACGATCCTGACTGGTCTCCCAGTCCCTGCCGCTGAAAAACATCCCCACAGCATGATGCTGCCACCACCATGCTTCACCGTAGGGATGGTGCCAGGTTTTCTCCAGACGTGATGCTTGACATTCAGGCCAAAGAGTTCAATCTTGGTTTCATTAGACCAGAGAATCTTGTTTCTCATGATCTGAGAGTCCTTTAGGTGCCGTTTGGCAAACTCCAAGCGGGCTGTCATGTGCCTTTTACTGCAGAGTGCTGCAGAGAGAGTTGTCCTTCTGGATGGTTCTCCCATCCCCACAGAGGAACTCTGTCAGAGTGGTGACCATAGGGTTCTTGGTCACCTCCCTGACCAAGGCCCTTCTCCCCTGATTGCTCAGTTTGGCCAGGCTGCCAGTTCTAGGAATAGTCTTGGTGGTTCAGAACTTCTTCCATTTAAGAATGATGGAGGCCACTGTGTTCTTGGGGACCTTCAATGCTGCAGATATTTTTTGGTACCCTTCCCCAGATCTGTGCCTCGACACAATCCTGTCTCAGAGCTCTACGGACAATTCCTTCGACCTCATGGCTTGGTTTTTGCTCTGACGTGCGCTTTCAACTGTGGGACCTTGTATAGACAGGTGTGTGCCTTTCCAAATCATGTCCAATCAATTGAATTTACCACAGGAGGACTCCAATCAATTTGTAGAAATATCTCAAGGATGGTCAATGGAAACAGGATGCACCTGTGCTCAATTTCGAGTCTCATAGCAAAGGGTTTGAATACTTATTTAAATAAGGTATTTCTGTTTTTTATTTTTAATACACTTGCAAAAAATTCTAAAAACCTATTTTCGCTTTGTAATTATGGGGTATCATGTGTACATTGATGATTTTTTATTTAATCAATTTTAGAATAAGGAGGTAATGTATAAACATTTGGATAAAGGGAAGGGGTCTGAATACTTTCCAAATGCACTGTAAATATGCCTTTTAACTTCATCTGGTTTGCCATTCCAAATATTATTTTCTTGCATGATTTCAGAAAGGATTCTCTTGGATTCGGTAGAGCAATGAATAATTATCTAAAGATATCGCAGTTAACATATTGAATCAGGGTCATTTTCTTGTAGATGGACAGCTGTTTCTCTCTCCATGGTTTCAAGATCCTATCTACTTTGCTAAGTTTTCTATCGAAGTTAATAGCTGCAAGATCGCTGAAGTTTTCCGGATATGTGTTCAGTGCTGTTGTGTGTAGTGTACTACGTCAGGGCTGTGCTTGCTAGCCTCTATTCCAGGAGGCTTTCTCGCATCAACTGATGAATAAGACTTGGAATAATGACATCACAAGAGCGTGTGTGTGAGGTTCTGTGCCGTGTGCTGGGCCCGGCCGGGCTCTCCTTCTCCCTGGAGGGATTACTCTCTCCTGTGTGATTATCTGCTCTATTAATAGCGTTCTTTAAGGCCATTCACATGAAACTCCTCTCCTATATACCCAGGGGCTGGATGGAGGAAGGCCATCACAGGCTGTACTGGTCCACTAATTATATTAACCAACCAGGAACGGGACAGGCACCAGCAGCAGCCACAGACTTTTACGTAGACCCCTCCACTCTGAGAGACACACACACACATGGTGGGGCAGGCCGAACAGGAGAGGCATTGTACTATACTAACCACACACTCACCCTGACGGTCCTAGCTATCTGTGATTTAAACAGGGATAGGTATTGGAACAAGAGCATTAGGCCTGAGGAGAATGTCGGATTCTCTTGGAAATTTCAAAAGGGGACAAAATATTGTTCCGGGGAGGGTCCCCCATCAGACCAACAACTCTCCCAACAAATCACAAGTTTGGGTAGGCGGGGCTTAAAATATTGGCAGGAATTGTGCTCATGTCTAGCTAAGGCAACAAGCGTATATGGCAGTAACGTCACCGGTGACACGCGTCCCGTTTTCGACTCGTACTCTGTCCCAACTGACGCCGGAACTTCTACAGACGTGTAAGCTGGTGTATTGGTACATTGTCAGAGGCAACCCGTCTGTCAAGAGAGACTAGAGAGTCCGAGTCAGACACGTGTTTGGATGTGTAGAGCTGGGCGATATGGACAAATATCCATATCAAGATAAATTGCCTGAATTGATGCCCTAATGATAAGTTTATAACATTAATGTGCATCTTTTTTTATTTTTTATTGTCCTTTTAAATGCTCAAAGCTGCAGTTTTTATTTCAATGTCAAATCATTTCTGGCTAACAGTTAAGTACCTTACTGTAATAGATTTCCATTAAAATGGGCAAAAATAGCTTTTTACCTAAATTATTTCTCAAGCAAGTATTTTGCTAGGACTGTCCGGGAGTGGGAGGGGGAAACTGAAAACTAGCTGTTATTGGCAGAGAGGTTTGGAAGTCTCTTTGTTATTCGTCTATTAGCAATTTTACCGCATGCTGATGTCCCTGTGGAAAGCCGACACTCCCACCCATGCAAACCTGCTGATTTTAGAAGGTCCTGTGTAGATCACCAATTTGTAAGTCGCTCTGGATAAGAGCGTCTGCTAAATGATGTACATTTGTATTTTCAACCAGCAGCTGTCAGGAAATAACACTGATAAAAAAAGTGACTTTTGCTGTGTATTAAAAAAAAAAAAAAAAAAAAAAAAAAAAAAATTTAGGGGGTAGATCAGCTTTAATATTGCAGATAGATTGTAACTTCCAACAATGTAATTGTCTGCATCACTTCCAATCCCCCATATATATTTTTTCGCAAATATATATATATATAGATATATATACAGTGGGGAGAACAAGTATTTGATACACTGCCGATTTTGCAGGTTTTCCTACTTACAAAGCATGTAGAGGTCTGTAATTTTTTTTTAAATCCAGAAAATCACATTGTATGATTTTTAAGTAATTCATTTGCATTTTATTACATTACATAAGTATTTGATATATCAGAAAAGCAGAACTTAATATTTGGTACAGAAACCTTTGTTTGCAATTACAGAGATCATACGTTTCCTGTAGGTCTTGACCAGGTTTGCACACACTGCAGTAGGGATTTTAGCCCACTCCTCCATACAGACCTTCTCCAGATCCTTCAGGTTTCGGGGCTGTCGCTGGGCAATACGGACTTTCAGCTCCCTCCAAAGATTTTCTATTGGGTTCAGGTCTGGAGACTGGCTAGGCCACTCCAGGACCTTGAGATGCTTCTTACGGAGCCACTACTTAGTTGCCCTGGCTGTTTGTTTCGTGTCGTTGTCATGCTGGAAGACCCAGCCACGACCCATGTTTCCACCTCCATGCTTCACGGTTGGGATGGTGTTCTTGGGGTTGTACTCCTCCTTCTTCTTCCTCCAAACATGGCGAGTGGAGTTTAGACCAAAAAGCTCTATTTTTGTCTCATCAGACCACATGACCTTCTCCCATTCCTCCTCTGGATTATCCAGATGGTCATTGGCAAACTTCAGACAGGCCTGGACATGCGCTGGCTTGAGCAGGGGGACCTTGCGTGCGCTGCAGGATTTTAATCCATGACGGCGTAGTGTGTTACTAATGGTTTTCTTTGAGACTGGTCCCAGCTCTCTTCAGGTCATTGACCAGGTCCTGCCGTGTAGTTCTGGGCTGATCCCTCACCGTTCTCATGATCATTGATGCCCCACGAGGTGAGATCTTGCATGGAGCCCCAGACCGAGGGTGATTGACCGTCATCTTCAACTTCTTCCATTTTCTAATAATTGCGCCAGCAGTTGTTGCCTTCTCACCAAGCTGCTTGCCTATTGTCCTGTAGACCATCCCAGCCTTGTGCAGGTCTACAATTTTATCCCATGTCCTTACACAGCTCTCTGGTCTTGGCCATTGTGGAGAGGTTGGAGTCTGTTTGATAGAGTGTGTGGACAGGTGTCTTTTATACAGGTAACGAGTTCAAACAGGTGCAGTTAATAGAGGTAATGAGTGGAGAACAGGAGGGCTTCTTAAAGAAAAACTAACAGGTCTGTGAGAGCCGGAATTCTTACTGGTTGGTAGGTGATCAAATACTTATGTCATGCAATAAAATGCAAATGAATTACTTAAAAATCATACAATGTGATTTTCTGGATTTTTGTTTTAGATTCCGTCTCTCACAGTTGAAGTGTACCTATGATAAAAATGACAGACCTCTACATGCTTTGTAAGTAGGAAAACCTGCAAAATCGGTAGTGTATCAAATACTTGTTCTCCCCACTGTATATATCTCACAAAAGTGAGTAAACCCCTCACATTTTGTAAATATTTGAGTATATATTTTCATGTGACAACACTGAAGAAATGACACTTTGCTACAATGTAAAGTAGTGAGTGTACAGCTTGTATAACAGTGTACATTTGCTGTCCCCTCAAAATAACTCAACACACTGCTATTAATGTCTAAACTGCTGGTAACAGAAGTGAGTACACCCCTAAGTGAAAATGTCCAAATTGGGGGGTGTACTCACTTTTGTGAGATACTGTACATACATACATACAGTGAGGGGAAAAAAGTATTTGATCCCCTGCTGATTTTGTATATTTGCCCACTGACAAAGACATGATCAGTCTATAATTTTAATGTTAGGTTTATTTGAACAGTGAGAGACAGAACAACAACAAAAAAATCAGAAAAACACATGTCAAAAATGTTTGAAATTGATTTGCATTATAATGAGGGAAATAAGTATTTGACCCCTCTGCAAAACATGAATTAGTACTTGGTGGCAAAACCCTTGTCGGCAATCACAGAGGTCAGACGTTTCTTGTAGTTGGCCACCAGGTTTGCACACATCTCAGGAGGGATTTTGTTCCACTCCTCTTTGCAGATCTTCTCCAAGTCATTAAGGTATCGAGGCTGACGTTTGGCAACTCGAACCTTCAGCTCCCTCCACAGATTTTCTATGGGATTAAGGTCTGGAGACTGGCTAGGCCACTTCAGGACCTTAACGTGCTTCTTCTTGAGACACTCCTTTGTTGCCTTGGCCGTGTGTTTTGGGTCATTGTCATGCTGGAATACCCATCCACGACCCATTTTCAATGCCCTGGCTGAGGGAAGGAGGTTCTCACCCAAGATTTGACGGTACATGGCCCCGTTAATCGTCCCTTTGATGCGGTGAAGTTGTCCTGTCCCCTTAGCAGAAAAACACCCCCAAAGCATAATGTTTCCACCTCCATGTTTGACGGTGGGGATTGTGTTCTTGGGGTCATAGGCAGCATTCCTCCTCCTCCAAACACGGCGAGTTGAGTTGATGCCAAAGAGCTCCATTTTGGTCTCATCTGACCACAACACTTTCACCCAGTTATCCTCTGAATCATTCAGATGTTCATTGGCAAACTTCAGACGACCCTGTAAATGTGCTTTCTTGAGCAGGGGGACCTTGCGGGCGCTGCAGGATTTCAGTCCTTCACGGCCTAGTGTGTTACCAATTGTTTTCACATTTTACATTTACATTTTAGTCATTTAGCAGACGCTCTTATCCAGAGCAACTTACAGTTAGTGGATGCATACAGTGGGGAAAAAATGTTTTTAGTCAGCCACCAATTGTGCAAGTTCTCCCACTTAAAAAGATGAGAGAGGCCTGTAATTTTCATCATAGGTACACGTCAACTATGACAGACAGAATGAGAAAAAATAATCCAGAAAATCACATTGTAGAATTTTTAATGAATTTATTTGCAAATTATGGTGGAAAATAAGTATTTGGTCAATAACAAAAGTTTCTCAATACTTTGTTATCAATGACACAGGTCAAACGTTTTCTGTAAGTCTTCACAAGGTTTTCACACACTGTTGCTGGTATTTTGGCCCATTCCTCCATGCAGATCTCCTCTAGAGCAGTGATGTTTTGGGGCTGTCGCTGGGCAACACAGACTTTCAACTCCCTCCAAAGATTTTCTATGGGGTTGAGATCTGGAGACTGGCTAGGCCACTCCAGGACCTTGAAATGCTTCTTACGAAGCCACTCCTTCGTTGCCCGGGTGGTGTGTTTGGGATCATTGTCATGCTGAAAGACCCAGCCACGTTTCATCTTCAATGCCCTTGCTGATGGAAGGAGGTTTTCACTCAAAATCTCACTATACATGGCCCCATTCATTCTTTCCTTTACACGGATCAGTCGTCCTGGTCCCTTTGCAGAATAACAGCCCCAAAGCATGATGTTTCCACCCCCATGCTTCACGGTAGGTATGGTGTTCTTTGGATGCAACTCAGCATTCTTTGTCCTCCAAACACGACGAGTTGAGTTTTTACCAAAAAGTTCAATTTTGGTTTCATCTGACCATATGACATTCTCCCAATCCTCTTCTGGATCATCCAAATGCACTCTAGCAAACTTCAGATGGGCCTGGACATGTACTGGCTTAGGCAGGGGGACACGTCTGGCACTGCAGGATTTGAGTCCCTGGCGGCGTAGTGTGTTACTGATGGTAGGCTTTGTTACTTTGGTCCCAGCTCTCTGCAGGTCATTCACTAGGTCCCCCCGTGTGGTTCTGGGATTTTTGCTCACCGTTCTTGTGATCATTTTGACCCCACGGGGTGAGATCTTGCGTGGAGCCCCAGATTGAGGGAGATTATCAGTGGTCTTGTATGTCTTCCATTTCCTAATAATTGCTCCCACAGTTGATTTCTTCAAACCAAGCTGCTTACCTATTGCAGATTCAGTCTTCCCAGCCTGGAAGACTGAATCTGGTGTCCTTTGACAGCTCTTTGGTCTTGGCCATAGTGGAGTTTGGAGTGTGACTGTTTGAGGTTGTGGACTGGTGTCTTTTATACTGATAACAAGTTCAAACAGGTGCCATTAATACAGGTAACGAGTGGAGGACAGAGGAGCCTCTTAAAGAAGAAGTTACAGGTCTGTGAGAGCCAGAAATCTTGCTTGTTTGTAGGTGACCAAATAGGTATTTTCCACCATAATTTGCAAATAAATTCATAAAAAATCCTACAGTGTGATTTTCTGGAAAATAAATTCTCAATTTGTCTGTCATAGTTGACGTGTACCTATGATGACAATTACAGGCCTCTCTCGTCTTTTGAAGTGGGAGAACATGCACAATTGGTGGCTGACTAAATACTTTTTTTCCCACTATTATTAATTTTTTTCATACATAGATATACACTACCGGTCAAAAGTTTTAGAACGCCTACTTATTCAAGGGTTTTTCTTTATTTTTACTATTTTCTACATTGTAGAATAATAGTGAAGACATCAAAACTATGAAATAACACACATGGAATCATGTAGTAACCAAAAGTGTTAAACAAATCAAAATATAATTTATATTTGAGTTTCTTCAAATCAGCCACCCTTTGCCTTGATGACAGCTTTGCACACTCTTGGCATTCTCTCAACCAGCTTCATGAGGTTTTCACCTGGAATGCCATTTGAAGAATCTCAAATATAAAATATATCTTGATTTGTTTAACACTTTTTTTGGTTACTACATGATTCCATATGTGTTATTTCATAGTTTTGTTATGTTCACTATTATTCTACAATGTACAAAATAGTAAAATTACAGAAAAACCCTTGAATGAGTAGGTGTTCTAAAACTTTTGACCGGTAGTGTATATACACATCCTTTTTTAAAATATATTTTCCTTTCCAACACCACCACCCCTCCCCTAATGGGAGTAAACTAGTGAACAACAACGCTTAGGCCTCTACTTCCAGCTTATACATACTATATACATTTTATGGACACAGTCAATTTTACAATAGTTCTATTTTTGATCTCTGATTTCTGAACTTCCTATACCCTCAACCTATCATTTTCATGATGTCCATCCGGTTTGCTTCTATGTGCCATATCTTTCAAACTGCTCTTTCACAAAAGTTCTCAACCTGTAACATATATACTTATTATGGACACAGTATGTTTTACATTAGTTATCTTGTTGTTACTAAGATTTAATCGTACTACACCAGCTCTGACGCTCGTCGGATGTGGCAGGGCTTGAAAACTATTACAGACTACAAAGGGAAGCACAGCCGTGAGCTGCCCAGTGACACAAGCCTACCAGACGAGCTAAACCACTTCTATGCTCGCTTCGAGGCAAGCAACACTGAAGCATGCATGAGAGCACCAGCTGTTCCGGATGACTATGTGATCACGCTCTCCGTAGCCGATGTGAGTAAGACTTTTAAGCAGGTCATTCACAAGACCGCAGGGCCAGATGGATTACCAGGACGTGTACTCCGAGCATGCGCTGACCAATACTTATTTCCCTCATTAAAATGCAAATCAATTTATAACATTTTTGACATGCGTTTTTTCAGGATTTTTTTTATTGTTATTCTGTCTCACTGTTCAAATAAACCTACCATTAAAATTATAGACTGATAATTTCTTTGTCAGTGGGCAAACGTACAAAATCAGCAGGGGATCAAATACTTTTTTCCCTCACTGTACCTTTCCATAGTAGCAAGATCTTATCTGTTTTTGCTAACTTTCTATTAACATTTATTGAAGTGAGATCATTTATTTATTTTGGGATATGTATACCGAGTATATCCACATCACCATCGGACCATTTTATTGGTAAACTACACGGTCATGTAATTTATTTATATATTTTTTTGATCCAATATGTTATATAGTACATTTATCATAACATATTTTTATATCAATGTCAAATAATTTATGGGTAACAATTAAGTACCTTACTGTAATATATTTCCATTAAAATGGGCAAAAATAGCTTTTTGCAAAAAATTATTTTTCAAGCAAGAATTTTGCTAGGACTGTCCGGGAGTGGGAGGGGGAAACTGAAAACTGGCTGTTATTGGCAGAGAGGTTTGGAACTCTCTTTGTTATTGGTCTATTAACCATTTTACCGCATCCATGCAAACCTGCTGATTTTAGACAGTCCTGTGTAGATTTGTATTTTCAACCAGCAACTCTCAGGAAATAATACTGATAAAAAAAGTCTGACTTTTACAGTGTTCTGTGACCCTGGCCTCTCCTGTGCTCTGTCTTACCCATGCTGCCTGACTGGCTGGCTGAAATATTGCTCTGTGTAATGTCATGTTGACAGATGCTTGGCTGAGGAAGACAGGGTAGATAGTTAGTGTCTTAGCGATGGTCTGTGATGAGGTCACTTTTTTAATAATACTGTCTGTGTGTTTTATACCACCTGTTTCAACTGCAGGAACAGACTCTAATGCACTATGTAGGAGACTCACAAGACTAGACTACCTAGATATAAGTACAAGTACATATAGCCTCGATTGAAGCTCTTGGGCAAACTGGTCTCTGATGGAAAGCTCTTACATTATTACATTTTTATTGATCAGTTTCCCAATCTCTGGGACAAATACCCATTCCTCTGGTTTGTATGTTCTTTGTTCTCCTACCTGTGCTACACTGTTTACTGTGGATGCCACTCTTATACATGTTGACTAGAGCCACATTCTGCAATAATGAGTGACCTGTAAGGTCAAATGGCGCGTGCATGCGTGTGGGCACAGAGATTATCAAATCAAATTTTATTTGTCACATGCTTCGTAAACAACAGTTGTTGACTAACAGTGAAATGCTTACTTACGATACTGGTCCATTGCCTTTTATAGCAGCTTATGTCTTACATAATGGAAGACTGAGTTAGTTCGATTGGTACATCAGGGCTGCATTCAGCATTAGAGTGAGACTGAACTTTAGCAATGTGTTCCCCACAGGAACTGCTCTGAACTCTCTGTAACCCTCAATCTACTGTGAACCCTGGACAGAAACGTCAGGGGTTTGCATGTAAATAACTTAGCTGAATGTTGGGCTCACAACTGTCCATTCCATTTATGAATAAATACTGATGGCTTATGTGCAACTTCGACTTCTTGTATACAGTGTTTAGTTGCTGTGTGGTGTAACAAATGATCAATTAAAGGCCTTTTTAAAAGTCACATCTTCTCCTTTCTCTCTCCCTCATCCTTTCTCATTCATTCTCTCGCTCTCCATCTCTACTCCAGCTTTCTTTTGTTATTGGTTTCAGGGCTCTGTTCAGATTTCTCTTCTGTTTTTGCAATGTTGTCCTCTTCACATCTCTTTCTCTCCCTGTGTGTGTGTAGACGTGCCGGCACCGGAACAGCCGGAGCTGTTCCTGAAGAAGCTGCAGCAGTGCTGTACTGTGTTTGATTTCATGGACACGCTGTCTGACCTGAAGATGAAGGAGTACAAGCGCTCCACGCTCAACGAGCTGGTGGACTATGTCACTGTCAGCAGGGGCTACCTGACAGAACAGGCTTACCCGGAGGTTGTCAAAATGGTGAGGCTACAACACACTAAACAGAACACGCACTCATGTCATAAATATACTCGCTTCCAGACAATTTAAGTTTGTATTTATCATATTTAGTTGACATCAACAAGGAACCTTAATCAACATTTCTGTTTCACATCCATGTTGAAGTGCCTGAGTTGCCTATAAAGCTGATTTTCATATTACTCACGCAACTCACATGTCCACTGCCTTAATCTCCAGTGAAGTCAGTTGATTGTCTATTGTTTTCTGTCCTGTCTCCCAGGTGTCTTACAACATATTCCGGACCCTTCCGCCCAGTGACAGTAATGAGTTTGACCCAGAGGAGGATGAACCCACACTGGAGGCCTCATGGCCACACTTACAGGTAACACTGACGCTACAATTGATGGGTGTTTGTGTGCGTATGTATCAGTTTGTGTGTGTGTGTGTGTGTACTGCCTTCTATTGGAGACTGAGTCCCTTGTGTAGTATGGTTAAGATATGGCTACAGGTCTAGTGTCAGGTGCTCTGTCTCTCACCCCCTTTTCTGTGTACCTGCTGCTCTGCCTCCCAGGACTCCTTTAGAAATGAGATGAATATCTCAAGGAGATTCTTCCTGGTAAAACTTTTAATTTAATTTATCTTTTATAAAATAGCCAAATTCACTTGACCACATTTTTTATATTTACCCGCCCAGTCATAAGCCCCCCTCCCCCTGGCCTTGTAACCCTGGTTACCACTAAAGGTAATAATGACCCTACCACGTTGTGCCTCTGTGACCTTTGACCCTCTGTGACCTATTGACCTCCCATTCTCTGTCCTCTGCTCCAGTCTCTCCATAGCCTTACCTTTGTTTTATGAAGAATCCATCACCTAACCTCTCCACCGCTCTTTATCTTTCTCTGTGTCATAGCTGGTATATGAGTTCTTCATACGATTCTTGGAGAGTCAGGAATTCCAGCCCAGCATTGCCAAAAAGTACATAGACCAGAAATTCGTTCTACAGGTGAGTGATGTTTTTTTTACATTGGGGATGCTGTAGAGATGCACTTCAAAAATGTAGACTAGTGTTGTACAAGTTTGAGTAGTTTGTAGTTGTTGAATCTCTCGTTCTCTTTCTCCCTTGCTCTGTAGCTCTTGGAGCTCTTTGACAGTGAAGACCCTCGGGAGAGAGACTACCTGAAAACAGTCTTACACAGAATCTATGGGAAATTCCTGGGGCTGAGGGCTTTTATACGAAAACAGATAAATAATATTTTTCTACGGTAAGACGGCGCTCCTCATTCTGACTGTACTCATATTGACATGGTACTTTCACGGATGTTTCACTAAAGTTTATTCTCTCTCTCGCTCGTAAAGTTTTGTTTATGAGACTGAGCACTTCAACGGGGTTGCTGAGTTGCTGGAGATCTTGGGAAGGTATGTGACTCTGGTTTGACCTGTGGTTAGTTCTGACGCCTTTGTTCTCTGGCGCTGTCTTAATGGAGTAAAACATGTTTTACTTCTTCATCCTCCCTGGGCACTGTAGTACTGTAGTCCAGGCTAAGGCCTGTTGGTTACCTTGCATAAAGTAGCTACAGTACCTGTGTAATTTGTGTTGGCCCATGTAAAAGCCTCTAGTATATTCTGGCCTCTTTGTATGGACATGTATAATTTGCCCTACTGGCTTAGCTCTGCTTTTCTCCTCTCTCTCTCTCTCGCAGCATAATCAATGGTTTCGCCCTGCCGCTCAAAGCAGAGCATAAACAGTTCCTGGTCAAAGTGTTGATCCCCCTCCACACTGTCAGGAGTCTGTCCCTCTTCCACGCACAGGTAGTGTGTGTATGCGTGTGTGTGTATGTCCAGGTGTGCAATCATGATTGTGTTGATAATGTTCTCCATGATTGAGTCTGTGTCCCAAATAATGTACGTTTCTGTCCAGTGAGTTGATCCTAATTAGTGTTACACATTTTCCAACCATAAGATTGACAATGTGTTGATATTCCTTTCTTTATTGTGACCTCTTTTTCCAGCTGGCGTATTGCATTGTACAGTTCCTAGAGAAAGACCCAGCGTTAACAGAACCAGTAAGTGCCCCCCCATGGTCACACCAATCCTCTAATCAGAAGGATCTTTAAATGAACAGGATCGGATATCTCACTGTCTCCATTCATTAATCTACTTCCACCATCTCTCATCACAGGTCATCAGGGGCTTACTGAAGTTCTGGCCAAAAACCTGCAGTCAAAAAGAGGTAAGAGCCCTGGCCGTTGCCCTCCCTGGGGCTGGAGCACTGACCTGCTGCTGTTGGGAAGTGTTAATGAGAGTTTAGATACGGTACCTGGATAGTAAGGATGTGATGTGTTGTCCTGCTCAGGTGTGTTTTTAACTGTGTGTGTTTTCAGGTGATGTACCTGGGGGAGCTGGAGGAGATCCTAGACGTGATCGAGCCGACACAGTTCGTCAAGATCCAGGAGCCGCTCTTCAAACAGATATCCAGATGTGTGTCCAGCCCACACTTCCAGGTCAGTCAGTCTATAGAGAAGAACACAAATCCTTTTTTTTTTTGTCATTTAGCGGACGCTCTTATCTAGAGCGACTTACAGTTAGTGAGTGCATACATTATTTATTTATTTTTCATACTGGCCCCCCGTGGGAATCGAACCCACAACCCTGGCGTTGCAAACGCCATGCTCTACCAACTGAGCTACATCCCTGCCGGCCATTCCTTCTCCTACCCTGGACGACGCTGGGCCAATTGTGCGCCGCCCCATGGGTCTCCCGGTCGCGGCTGGCTACTACAGAGCCTGGATTTGAACCAGGATCTCTAGTAGCACAGTTATGTGTATTTAAAAAAATATATATATATATTATTATTATTGGGGGTAGATCAGCTTTAATATTGCAGATAGATTGTAGCTTCCATCAATGTCATTGTCTGCATCATTTCCAATATACACATACAGTACCAGTCAAAAGTTTGGACACACCTACTGATTCAAGGGTTTTTCTTTATTTTTACTATTTTCTACATTGTAGAATAATAGTGATGACATCAAAACTATGAAATAACACATATGGAATCATGTAGTAACCAAAAAAGTGTTAAACAAATCAACATATATTTTATATTTGAGATTCTTCAAAGTAGCCACCCTTTACCCTGATGACAGCTTTGCACACTCTTGGCATTCTCTCAACCAGCTTCATGAGGTAGTCACCTGGAATGCATTTAAATTAACAGGTGTGCCTTGTTAAAAATTAATTTGTGGAATTTCTTTCCTCCTTAATGCGTTTGAGCCAATCAGTTGTGTTGTGACAAGGTAGGGGGGTATACAGCAGATAGCCCTATTTGGTAAAAGACCAAGTCCATATTATGGCAAGAACAGCTCAAATAAGCAAAGCGAAATGACATTCCATCATTATTTTAAGACATGAAGGTCAGTCAATCTGGAACATTTCTACAACTTTTAAAGTTTCTTCAAGTGCAGTCGCAAAAACCATGAAGTGCTATGATGAAACTGGCTCTCATTAGGACCAACACAGGAAAGGAAAACCCAGAATTACCTCTGCTACAGAGGATAAGTTCATTAGAGTTACCAGCCTCAGAAATTGCAGACCAAATAAATGCTTCACAGAGTTCAAGTAACAGACACATCTCAACATCAACTGTTCAGAGAAGACTGCAGCAATTTGACCATGAAGGCCTGATTCACACAAAGAAACCACTACTAAAGGACACCAATAATAAGAAGAGACTTGCTTGGGCCAAGAAACATGAGCAATGGACATTAGACTGGTGGAAATCTGTCCTTTTGGTCTGATGAGTCCAAATTTGAGATTTATGGCTCAAACCGCCGTGTCTTTGTGAGACACAGAGTAGGTGAACGGATGATCTCCGCATGTGTAGTTCCCACCGTGAAGCATGGAGGAGGTGGTGTGGGGGTGCTTTGCTGGTGACACTGTGATTTATGTGGAATTCAAGGCACACTTAACCAGCATGGCTACAACCGCATTCTGCAGCGATACGCCACCCCATCTGGTTTGCACTTAGTGGGACCATCATTTGTTTTCCAGCCAACAAGTGCTCAGCATATGTGGGAACTCCTTCAAGACTGTTGGAAAAGCATTCCAGGTGAAGCTGGTTGAGAGAATGGCAAGTCTGCGCAAAGCTGTCATCAAGGCAGAGGGAGGCTATTTGAAGAATCTCAAATATAAAATATATTTTGATTTGTTTAACACTTTTTTGGTTACTACATGATTCCATATGTGTTATTTCATAGTTTTGATGTCTTCACTATTATTCTACAATGTGGAAAATAGTAAAAATAAAGAAAAACCCTTGAATGAGTATATACAGTCGTGGTCAACATTTTTGAGAATGACACAAGTATTGGTCTTCACAAAGTTTGTGGCTTCAGTGTTTTTAGATATTTTTGTCAGATGTTACTATGGTATACTGAAGTATAATTACTAGCATTCCATAAGTGTCAAAGGCTTTTATTGACAATTACATTAAGTATATGCAAAGAGTCAATATACTTATTTTTCAAGACCTCTGCGATCTGCCCTGGCATGCTGTCAATTAACTTCTGGGCCACATCCTGACTGATGGCAGCCCATTCTTGCATAGTCAATGCTTGGAGTTTGTCAGAATTTGTGGGTTTTTGTTTGTCCACCCGCCTCTTGAGGATTGACCACAAGTTCTCAATGGGATTAAGGTTTGGGGAGTTTCCATGGACCCAAAACGTCGATGTTTTGTTCCCCGAGCCACTTAGTTATCACTTTTGCCTTTTTTGGCAAGGTGCTCCATCATGCTGGAAAAGGCATTGTTCGTCACCAAACTGTTCTTGGATGGATGGGAGAAGTTGCTCTCTGAGGATGTGTTGGTACCATTCTTTATTCATGGCTGTGTTCTTAGGCAAAATTGTGAGCGAGCCCACTCCCTTGGCTGAGAATCAACCCTACGCATGAATGGTCTCAGTATGCTTTACTGTTGGCATGACACAGGACTGATGGTAGGGCTCACCTTATCTTCTCCGGACAAGCTTTTTTCCGGATGCCCCAAACAATCGGAAAGGAGATTCATCAGAGAAAATGACTTTACCCCAGTCCTCAGCAGTCCAATCCCTGTACGTTTTGCAGAATATCAGTCTGTCAGTGATGTTTTTCCTGGAGAGAAGTGGCTTCCTCGCTGCCCTTCTTGACACCAGGCCATCCTCCAAAAGTCTTCGCCTCACTGTGCGTGCAGATGCACTCACACCTGCCTGCTGCCATTCCTGAGCAAGCTCTGCACTGGTGGTTCCCTGATCCCGCAGCTGAATCAACTTTAGGAGACGGTCCTGGCGCTTGCTGGACTTTCTTGGGCGCCCTGAAGCCTTCTTCACAACAATTGAACCTCTCTCCTTGAAGTTCTTGATGATCCGATAAATGGTTGATTTGGGTGCAATCTTACTAGCAGAAATATCCTTGCCTGTGAAGCCCTTTTTTGTGCAAAGCAATGATGACGGCACGTGTTTCCTTGCAGGTAACCATGGTTAACAGAGGAAGAACAATGATTTCAAGCACCACACTCCTTTTTAAAACTTCCAGACTGTTATTATAACTAAATCAGCATAACGGAGTGATCTCCAGCCTTGTCCTCGTCAACACTCTCACCTGTGTTAACAAGAGAATCACTGACATGATGTCAGCTGGTCCTTTTGTGGCAGGGCTGAAATGCAGTGGAAATGTATTTTTTGGGATTAAGTTCATTTTCATGGCAGAGGGACTTTGCAATTAATTGCAATTCATCTGATCACTCATAACATTCTGGAGTATATGCAAATTGCCATCATAAAAACTGAGGCAGCAGACTTTGTGAAAATTAATATTTGTCATTCTCAAAACTTTTGACCACGACTGTATACAGTGCATTCGGAAAGTATTCAGACACCTTCCCTTTTTTGCACATTTTGTTACGTTACAACATTATTTAAAAATGGATTTAATTAATGATTTTCCTCATCAATCTATACAATACCCCATAAAACTGGTTTTTGGACATTTTTGCAAATGTATAAAAATAAAACAAATGTATTTACATAAGTATTCAGACCCTTTGCGATGAGACTCAAAATTTTGCTCAGGTGCATCCTGTGTCCATTGATCATCCTTGAGATGTTTCTACAACTTGATTGGTGTCCACCTGTGATAAATTCACTTGATTACACATGATTTGGAAAGGCACACACCTGTCTATATAAGGTCCCACAGTTGACAGTGCATGTCAGAGCAAAAACCAAGTCATGAGGTCAACAGAGTTGTTCGTAGGGCTACGAGACAGGATTGTGTCGAGGCACAGATCTGGGGAAGGGTATCAAAACAATGTCTGCAGCATTAGTAGTGTTATCTGCAGAGTTAGCTCCAGGTAAATTTAGCAATTCTTCAGCCATTTCTGGACCTGCGACCAAAAACAAGCTACATATGGACAGTACCAAAATCTGCAGAGCTGGGATGGTTGTATCCCCCATATACAGTGCATTCAAAATTATTCAGACCCCTTCACATTTCCACATTCTGTTACATTACAGCCTTATTCTAAAATGGATTAAATTGTTTTTTTCCCTTGCCTTATTCTAAAATGGATTAAATTGTTTTTTTTCCCTTGCCTTATTCTAAAATGGATTAAATTGTTTTTCCCCTCATCAATATACACACAATACCCCATAATGACAAAGCAAAAACAGTTTTTTTTTAAATGTTTGCAAATTCATTACAATTTTTTTTTTTTTATATCACATTTACATAAGTATTCAGACCCTTTACTCAGTACTTTGTTGAAGCACCTTTGGCAGCGATTACAGCCTCAAGACTTCTTGGGTATGATGCTACAAGCTTGGCACACCTGTATTTACGGAGTTTCTCCCATTCTTCTCTGCAGATCCTCTCAAGCTCTGTCAGGTTGGATGGGGAGCATTGCTGCACAGCTATTTTTAGGTCTCTCCAGAGATGTTAGATCGGGTTCAAGTCCGGGCTCTGGCTGGGCCACTCAAGGACGTTCATAGACTTGTCCCGAAGCCACTCCTGCATTGTCTTTGCTGTATGGTTAGGGTCGTTGTCCTGTTGGAAGGTGAACCTTCACCCCAGTCTGAGGTCCTGACCACTCTGGAGCAGGTTTTCATCCAGGATCTCTCCGTACTTTGTGACGTACCTCCAGACGTGACGCTGGCATTCAGGCCAAAGAGTTCAATCTTGGTTTCATCAGACCAGAGAATCTTGTTTCTCATGGTCTGAGAGTCCTTTAGGTGCCTTTTGGCAAACTCCAAGCGGGCTGTCATGTGCCTTTTACTAAGGAGTGGCTTCTGTCTAGCCACTCTACCATAAAGGCCTGATTGGTGGAGTGCTGCAAAGATAGTTGTCCTTCTGGAAGGTTCTCCCATCTTCACAGAGGAACTCTGGAGCTCTGAGTGACCATCGGGTTCTTGGTCACCTCTCTGACCAAGGTCCTTCTCCCACGATTGCTTAGTTTGGCCGGCGGCAAACTCAAGGACGAGTCTTGGTGGTTACAAACTTCTTCCATTTAAGAATGATGGAGGCCACTGTGTTCTTGGGGATCTTCAATGCTGCAGAAATGTTTTGGTACCCTTTCCCAGATCTGTGCCTCGACACAATCCTGTCTCGGCTTGATTTTTGCTCTGAAATGCACTGTCAACTGTGGGACCTTATAGACAGGTGTGTGTGCCTTTCCAAATCATGTCCAATCAGTTGAATTTACCACAGGTGGACTCCAATCAAATTCTATAAACATCTCAAGGATGATCAATGGAAACAGGTGTCAGGGGCGACGTGTATGCGGTGAGTGAAGTCAAGCGCAGGACACAGAGATACTAGCAGACGTACTTTACTAATAGTAAAGAACATACAAAACAAAACCTCCTAACAGGGAGGAAAACAAATACACGTATACGACAAAAACAGCAATGCCGATACAGCATAGACACAAAACAATAACACACAATACCAAACGAGAGACATGGGTAAATATAGGGACTACAATCAAACATAATAGACAACAGGTGTAACCACTCAAGACAGAACAAGACAAACACCGAAACATCGATCGGCAGTAGCTAGTACTCCGGGGACGACGAACGCCGAAGCCTGCCCGAGCAAGGAGGAGGAGCAGCCTCGGCAGAATCCGTTACAGTACCCCCCAGCCGTGCGCCGACCCCGGCCTCGGGGACGGCCAGGAGGACGCGGACCAGGGCGAGTCGGATGACTCCGGTGGAACTCCGTCAACAGGGAGGGATCTAGGATGTCCCTCCTAGGGACCCAGCACCGTTCCTCCGGACCGTGGGTAAACAAGGCATCGGCCATTTGTAGGGCTGTAGGGAGACCTGGCATTGGAATGAGACGGCAGGCCTTAGAAAACCGATCCACCGATAGGTGAGACCACGGCCATTGTGGAACGGGTAGAGGTTGTAACTTCCCTCTGGGCAGGTGTCTAGGCGCCTTACACTGAGCGCACACTGAACAGGAAGAAACGTAAACCCTCACGTCCTTAGCCAAAGTGGGCCACCAGTACTTCCCGCTAAGGCAGTGCACCGTTCGACCAATACCCGGATGACCAGAGGAGGGTGACGTGTGAGCCCAATATATCAGTCGATCACGGACCTCGAGCGGCACGTACTTCCGCCCCTTTGGACACTCAGGAGGAGTAGGGTCTGTACGTAACGCCCGCTCGATCTCCGCATCGACCTCCCACACCACCGGTGCCACTAGACAAGACACCGGAAGTATGGGAGTGGGCTCAATGGACCTCTCCTCTGTGTCATATTGCCGGGACAGGGCGTCTGCCTTCATGTTCTGTGACCCTGGTATATACGTGAGCTTAAATACAAACCGGGTAAGAAACATGGCCCACCTAGCCTGACAATGGTTCAGTCTCCTCGCTGCCCGGATGTACTCCAGGTTACGATGGTCAGTCAGAATGAGGAAAGGGTGTTTAGCCCCCTCAAGCCAATGCCTCCACACCTTCAGGGCTTGAACCACCGCTAGCAACTCCCTGTCCCCCACGTCATATAATTGCGTTCCGCCGGACTGAGCTTCTTAGAATAAAAAGCACAGGGACAGAGTTTTGGAGGCGTGCCCGAGCGTTGAGACAGTCCAGCACCAATCCCCGCCTCGGACGCATCCACCTCAACTTGGAACGCCAAAGAGCGGTCCGGATGTGCCAGCACCGGAACCGAGGTGAACAGGTCCTTCAGATGTCTAAACGCCCTGTCCGCCTCAGCCGACCACTGCAAACGCACCGGACCACATTTAGCAGGGAGGTGATGGGAGCTGCTACCTGTCCAAAACCCCGGATAAACCTCCGGTAGTAATTGGCAAAACCCAAAAACCGCTGCACCTCCTTAACCGTGGTGGGAGTCTGCCAATTACGCACGGCTGAAACGCGGTCAATCTCCATCTCCACCCCTGACGCGGACAACCGATGTCCCAGGAAGGAGATGGACTCCTGGAAAAACAGGCATTTCTCCGCCTTCACATACAAGTCATGCTCCAACAGTCTACCCAACACCCGACGCACCAGGGACACATGCTCGGCTCGTGTAGCGGAGTATATTAGAATGTCATCAATATACACCACTACACCCTGTCCATGCAAATCCCGGAAAATCTCGTCCACAAATGATTGGAAGACTGAAGGAGCATTCATTAAACCGTATGGCATGACGAGATACTCATAGTGACCCGAGGTGGTACTAAATGCTGTTTTCCATTCATCTCCCTCCCTAATGCGCACCAGGTTGTAAGCTCTCCTGAGATCCAATTTTGTGAAGAATCGCGCCCCGTGTAATGACTCCGTCATACTCGCAATCAGAGGGAGAGGATAGCTGTATTTAATGGTAATCTGATTGAGACCACGGTAATCAATACACGGGCGCAAACCCCCATCCTTCTTCTTCACAAAAAAGAAACTCGAGGACGCAGGAGAATTGGATGGCCGTAGGTATCCCTGTCCCAGAGATTCGGTGACGTATGTCTCCATAGCTGCCGTCTCCTCCTGAGACAGAGGATACACATGACTACGAGGAAGTGCAGCGCCTGCCTGGAGGTCTATCGCACAATCCCCCTGTCTATGAGGTGGTAATTGAGTCGCCTTCTTCTTACTGAAGACGAGTGCCAAATCTGTATACTCAGGAGGAATGTGCATTGCGGGCATTTGGTTCGGACTTTCCACCGTCGTTGCCCCTACGGAAACACCTATACACCACCCGACACACTGATCAGACCATTCCCTGAGAGCCTTCTGTTGCCATGAAATGTTGGGGTCATGAGATATTAACCAGGGAAGCCCCAACACCACGGGAAACGCAGGAGAGTCAATCAAATACAACTGTATAATCTCCTCATGACCCCCCTGCGTCTTCATCTTAAGTGGCGCTGTGACCTCCCTAATCAATCCCGACCCCAAAGGGCGGCTGTCTAGGGCATGGATGGGGAAGGGCACATCAACTGGTATAAGGGGAATCCCTAACATATACGAGAAACAGCGATCGATAACATTCCCAGCTGCGCCTGAATCGACTAGCGCCTTATGCTGGGAGTGAGAAGAAACCTCGGGAAACACAACTTTAATACACATGTGTACAACAGAGAGCTCTGGGTGAGTTGGGTGCTTACTCACCTGGAATGACTCATCAGTGCGTGGCCTGCTCCCTCGATCCCTAGGAGACCCCCCCCCAGCACCGAACCGCAGTGTGTCCTCTGGAACAGACGCTCACCCGCCGCTTTCCCCTCTGGGGGATGATCGAAAACCGCCCTGAAGCGGCGGGAGAACTCCGCATAGCTGACTGTAGCGGCGTCTATTCCCCTCCACTCAGCGTTGGCCCACTCCAGTGCCTTGCCGGACAGACAGGAGATGAGGGCGGAAACGCTCTCGTATCCCAAGGGCGCCGGGTGGATGGTTGCCAGGTAGAGTTCTACTTGGAGCAGGAAGCCCTGACACTCGGCCGCGGTGCCATCATAAGCCCTCGAGAGCGAGAGCCAAATCCAACTGGACTCCGGAGATGGAACGATGGGTATGGCTGATGGTGGTGGTATCGTTGGAGGAGGTGTGGGCAAACCTCCTCTCTCCCATCGCCTCAAGGTGTCCATCACCCCTTGCATGGCGGTGCCCAGGTCCTGGATCATGGCTGCTTGGTGGATTACGCGCTCCTCCAGTGATCCCGTTGGCACCGCCGATCCTGCTGACTCCATGAAGGTGTGTTATTCTGTCAGGGGCGACGTGTATGTGGTGAGTGAAGTCAAGCGCAGGACACAGAGATACTAGCAGACGTACTTTACTAATAGTAAAGCACATACAAAACAAAACCTCCTAACAGGGAGGAAAACAAATACACGTATACGACAAAAACAGCAATGCCGATACAGCATAGACACAAAACAATAACACACAATACCAAATGAGAGACATGGGTAAATATAGGGACTACAATCAAACATAATAGACAACAGGTGTAACCACTCAAGACAGAACAAGACAAACACCGAAACATCGATCGGCAGTAGCTAGTACTCCGGGGACGACGAACGCCGAAGCCTGCCCGAGCAAGGAGGAGCAGCAGCCTCGGCAGAATCCGTGACAACAGGATGCACCTGAACTCAATTTCAGGTCTCATAGCAAAGGGTCTGAATACTTACATAAATAAGGTATTTCTGTATTACATTTTTATTAATTGTACAGAAATGTTTAAAAACCAGTTTTTGCGTTGTCATTATGGGGTATTGATGAGGGAAAACAAATAATTTAATTCATTTTAGAACAAGACTGTAACATATCAAAATGTGGAAAAGGTGATGGGGTCTGAATACTATCCGAATGCACTCTATATAACATTCTATTGGTTGTAAGAATTTAGTATAATAACTTAAATTGAAAAATTCAAAATGTTGAATCGAGCGTTGTTTTGCGTATCAGTTCATAAACCATGTGCTATAGAATTGGTACATCGCAAATCTCTTCAACTATTTTGCAATCTATATGGCACAGTTGTACATTTTTTGGTCCTTAAATGAAACTGGTATACTTTTTTATTTATGCCAATTTTCTTTAACCAATTTTGGTCTTTAAAGCAGGGCCGACAGATAAGTTCCTTACTTTTTACCCCTTCCACTTGCCTCTTCCATTTTGCGGTAATGCTGCAATTAGATGGCCCTGTGTAGCTCAGTTGGTAGAGCATGGCGTTTGCAACGCCAGGTTTGTGTGTTCGATTCCCACGGGGGGCCAGTATGAAAATGTATGCACTCACTTAACTGTAAGTCGCTCTGGATAAGAGCGTCTGCTAAATGACTGAAAATGTTTTAAATGTTGTAATTTTGGGTAGAGCAGACATTTCCATATATTTTTGTTAGCTGCATGTGTGACAACTCCACCAGTCCTATTTATGATATAATTTAACAAAGATTATACATTTTAAAAAGTTTTTAATTATTTAATTTTTTTTTTTTTTTTTTTTTTTTATCAACTAGTATATTTGAGTTTAACAACAATCTTTTTTGTATTATTTGTTCTGTCTTTTCTGGTGGATTAAACTGAAATTGCAACCAACTTTCTATGGCTGTGTGTATTCAATCTGTGTGTGTGTCCCTGTCCCTGGCAGGTGGCGGAGAGGGCTCTGTACTACTGGAACAACGAGTACATCATGAGTCTGATCGAGGAGAACTCCAGCGTTATCCTGCCCATCATGTTCGCCAGCCTCTACAGGATCTCCAAAGAGCACTGGAACCCGTGAGTTCACCTCAACACACCCGTCACATATAGATTGATCCAATCAGAAACCTTGATTTTTCGTCTTGTATTTGGTTGAATTCTATTTTATTTGTTTAGACTCTTGGCTCATTAGCGGAAAAATAAAGTGTAAAAGAGTTAATGTTGGCTGTGTTTTTACGTTTTCAATTTTTCTTGCAGGGCGATAGTGGCGTTGGTGTACAACGTACTAAAAGCCTTCATGGAGATGAACAGTACCTTGTTTGATGAACTCACAGCTACTTACAAGTCAGACCGCCAGCGGTAAGATATGCAGCATCACTAAAGGAGCCTGTGTGGTGTGGTCCTGCTCAGAGCGCTGTTGTAGTTTTTTAAACACCCACTCACTCATATAGGGCCATGCTCACTACACTGGTTCATACCGAACAATTACTGTTCTTTTATATACAGAATCTCACTATCTCTCATACACTGTGTGGTGTGTAATATTGTGATTCTTGACTCTGGCAGCATAAGACATTTTGATTGGGTGGTACTTGGCCAAGAGTTGTTGTGGTGGTAAACCCAGTAGTAATCTCTCAGTAATCTCAGTAACCCCAAACACCCCCCCCCCCCCCCCCCCGTGTGTGTTCTGTACTGTCTGCAGTGAGAAGAAGAAGGAGAAGGAGAGGGAGGAGCTTTGGAAGAAGCTGGGGGACCTGGAGCTGAAGAGGGGCCTTAGGAGCGACGGGATCATTCCCACTTAACGAAGCGCCACGCTCCCCTCCCATCCATGTCCACCGGAGCACGCCCTCTGGAACGACATGGAGCAACCGTGTTTTTTTTTCTTTCTTTTTTTCTGTATTGTGCGACTTACTTTACGGTAGATTCACACGTCTGTTTCATTATTTCAACATCACTGTAAATAACTTTTTTTCTTTTTCCCTTAAACTGATATTACTGCGAAAAAAAAATTATAAAAAAAGGAAGAAAAAACTAGAAAAATAAGTTGTGTGAGAGAAAAAGACTTTGGACAGTAGGACTTGGAATGAACTCTTCTTGGAAAAAAAATCTACTGCGAAAGAAAATAGATTGTTTTAACCTTGCCCTTTGAGGACCCCACTTTCCCTGAATACAAACCCATTTTCCATCTCTGGTTCTACTCCTTGCTCTCACTCGGTCTCCTGTGGTGCTTCTGTACCTCTCTCCCTGTGTGGGATGTCCTGACTGAGTGAGATACCTGGGAGGCCCCGCCCTGACCAAGAGGACACCCCTTCCCTCCGTAAGGACCAGCCTCTGACCCCTCCTGACCTGCCTCTCTCCATGCTCAAGCTAAGCTAGTATTATGGACCCATTAGCCATGAGGAAATGAATTGAATCCCTCGTCTTACTCGACCCCTCCTCCAAGAGGCAAACATGTTAAGGGCCTGTATGTACAGGGAGTAAAAGAAAAAACGGTAAAGGGAAGGTGTTCATACACACACTTACTTCCACCCTCTCGCACTATTTTCTCCCCACTTCCACATTTGTTTCTGTTCACTTATCTGTGTGCATCTGGCTCCCCAATGATTGGTTGGTTTCTGTCAGTTCAGTTGTCTCTCTTTGGTTTTGTGGACTTTGATTCTGCAGTCCCAGGCAGCCTGGTATCAGTCTGGCACTGGTACCCTCCAGCCACACAGAAAATATGAAAAATGTAAAACGATTGTGAGCTGTAGAGGAGCGCCAAACTCTCATATTGTGAAAAGGAGCATCAGTCCCGGGTGTGATTTTCACAGTATTACAAAATTGTATATTGTTATTAAATGCAGTACACTGATATCTTGTATCTTGTAGTAATTTAGCATATATTTTTGCTTAGGAACAGTCGAGGAGTATCCAGTATATAAGAGGTATTATAAGAGAAGACTTCCTGGTATTTATTATAGTGTTTTCCCCGCTTTCTTTTTTCTCTTTTTGTTTCCTTCTTGGTTTTTAGCTCTTTTTGGATTTTTGGATTAAGTTTCTTTGACCATCAGATCTTTTTTTAGTTGTGGAGAGAGGGAGGGAGGGAGGGCAGGGCGGAGAGAGGAAAGGCATGGCGGAGAGAGGAAAGGCATGGAGCAGTTGATATCCTGTTCAAATTTAAGTTCAGCATGGTTGACCCCATTGTTGACAGAATTAATGTGTGCTTTAGGATGGCCAAGATGTATGATTAAAATGAAGAAAAAAAAGGTTTGGAGAAATACAAATGTTTAATTATTTTAAAAAAATAAAGAGATATTAAATTAAACCTGTTTTGTGATAAAGCCCAGATGCTGGATTGCCTTATTTTCAGACCTTAGACTGCTTTTTGTTTTGTGCCTGTGTTTGATGGAGAGGTGAAAGGACGAATGAAGGAGTCTTGTGTTTTTTATTGTTGCTTAGCTACTCTGAAATGGTGCTGTGCATTTCATGACTAATTGATTCTGCTTGTTGTCGTTTGACTAGCCAAGCGACAGCTGTAAAGCGGTCTGCAGTCAACATAGACCGTCTCAATATCCTTTGATATGACGAATGATCGATTTAGAAGAATTGACTCATTGTTTGTGTTTAATTGACTTGTTCACTAACAATTAGCAGAACATATTAATTTTGTTTTTCCATTTTCAAGTAAAGATCATTTTACATTACCACAAATGTAAATCTACCTTGGAGTGCCACAGGAGGGCAGCAAGACTTCACATCTGATGGACCCCATAGCAGCCATTGAGTCACTATGTAGTTGATTTGTATCTGATATGTAATTTGTGAGCTTTTATTCAGCCCTGTTACAATATCAGTGAAGAATGTAGATATCTGCACCAAAGTTATGAAAACACTTAACTAGATCTGTATTTCATTTGTCACTTAAGGTGTGACGTGATCTGACCTGTGTGAGACCCTTTGGAGTGTGGAAGGTGGGTGTAATGTTGACTTGATGCGCACACACCATCACACTCAGACTAGTCACTAGTGTATTGTCCTTGGGTAACCACTGAATGTTTTGTTGTAGATAGCTGGTAGGCAAAGCTTTACGAGGACAATGGAGCTTTCCTTTTTAGATTTTTTGCCACGATCATCCCCAAGGAAAATGCATTTGTGATGTCTTCAACTACAGGTAAGAGATGATCTGTCCAGTGTTGTATGACAACGAGAATAACTCATTATTATTACATAGTAGCAACCTTTCTCTATTGCTAATGGCAATTTTTCTGGGGAGTTCTGCTGTTTTTTAGGCAGTCTGATTGGTTTTGCTTTATTTTAGGTATTTCTACTGTGTGTCTAGCAGTGTTTATCATTTCCACCGCTGCTATCGAGGCAGAGCTCAGAGTACACCTCTTTTTTAAAGAAGTCTTAGTCCCTAGTAGTTCTGACTGCTGTGTTTGAAAGGGCCAAGCGGTGCTGCTGGCGCTGTGATTGTGATCTGCTCTAAGTGTGGCTCTTGTTTTTCTACTCCCTGTCATTTTGACTGTTAACAATGTTCAACATGGGAACTGGATTCTCTTAAATTAGATGGATTCTAGTAGGATTTGGCAGCTGTAGACAGAGAGGACTGTTTTGGCTTAATAACCAGGGACAGTGCATTCTCAAAGCCCTGCTCCCATGTTTGGGCACAAGGTAATGCCCTGGGAAACAGTAGCAGGCCAATTAGGAAAAGGAGGATGAAAATGCTTTATCTCATTACCATCACCCAACGGGCACACATCCAGACATGGGAGGGGAGGGGCTCTTGAAGGTCCAATGCAGCCATTTTATCTCAATATCAAATCATTTCTGGGTAACAATTAACTACTTTACTGTGATTGTTTTCAATTAAAATCATAAAAAAGAAACAAAAACGGCTTCTTAGCAAAGCTCAATTTCTCAAGCAAGAATTTAGCTTGGACTGTCTGGGAGTGGTCTGAGTGGGGAGGCTGTTATTGGCAGAGGTTTGGAACTCTTATTGGTCCGTTAACTAATTTACTGGGCCAAAACTCCATCCCTCCAAAACAGGCAGAAATTTCAGTCGGTCTTTTCAAACACCTCTTACACTAAAGGGCATTATCATTTACACAATTTCACAGAATTATTCCAACCTCAGTGTGGAAACATATATATATATATATATATATATATATAACACAGTAAAATCACGTTCTTTACTGCACTGGGCCTTTAAAGACTGCCACCTTTTTCTTATTATGTCAAAGCAATTACTGGAAGTTGTCTCCGCTTCTCCACCCTTGAGTGCACACTTGGCCTGAACTGGGGTGAGGCAGTGACACACTGAGGGCATTGTCATAATTAATTATAGTGCTGATAATTCAGATTACTGATTTGCCCCCTCCTCTCTCTACACACCCAGCTCATTATTACTCTGTCTTGTTCATCAGATGCATGCATCAATGCCCTCTCCTGCAGGCTGTAGGGCAACACACCCTCATAAATGAATAAAAACAGAGTAGACTAAATACATTATATTGTTTACTTCAAACATCCCTTCCTGAGGTTGTTTAACTGGTGATTTTATGTCTGTTGACTTTTGGAACTCTGCCTTTGTTTCCTACAACTATAGATTTGTTTTTATCAGGCAACATCAGCACAGACCTGCGGTGGTGTGTCTTCACCAGGAGGGGGAGTCCCTACTTTACACAGACTCCGGTATGCCAGGTGTCACTCAGAGCCCGTTCAGCCCAAAGGGCAGAGAGAGCTAGACTGCGCTCAAACACAGATAGGTTGAGGGTTTTCCCTGAGAGTCACATTTCCAAGGATTCACTCCCTTCCTAGACAAGGAGGACATTTGTGCCTATAAAGAACAAGGTATACAGGTGTAAGATCTAACTTCTTTAATGTTCTGTTTCAGAGCTTTCTGTGGTTCTGTGAAGCGTCACTCAGCCCTCCCTTTCTTTGGTTAAGCATTACTGGCCTGTCTTAGCAGTGTACCTATATCATACTATAGGATATCCATGAGTAATGTATGTAGCCTATTATAATCCCATTAATCCCTTATTGTTCTCACTTCTCAGCTAATCTCTGTCATCTGCTGTAATACATGTAGAAGGAATATCAGTCAAATATTTAAATCCACATTAATATTCAGTATAGAGGTATTATGGGAATCTAATGCCATTGATTTCACACTGGGCTGTAAATCAAATGTATTTATAAAGCCCTTTTTACATCAGCAGATGTCACAAAGTGCTTATACAGAAACCCAGCCTAAAACCCCAAACAGCATGTCTGGGAAATATAACCTGTTTTTGTGGAAGTTTGAAAGTAACAAACCTGTTTGTTTATTTGTGTTTCAACCCATTTTATAGGTGCTCAGATAATGTGATCATTGTGGATGTTCATGCAACCACAACAAACCCTTACCGTCTGTGTCCAGACTCTGTTACATAATATTTGGTGTTTTAAACTCCTGTTCTTCTTACAGGAGATTCAGATTATAGCTTTGCCTTGTTTTCTCAATGCTAAGAAAAACAATGCATGATGCGCAATCACCACCCACTTGGGTACCATAAATAATACAGAGGACCTCCGCGCGCCACACCTCCCTACTACGTATCCATAATGTAGGTAGTGTAGGGAAACCCAACAAACCTGCTGCTTGTGCAGGAAGGGCCACAATGTGCTGTAAAACTACTCATCATAGTGTTTATAGAAGTCTCCCTGTTACCATGACAAAACCATGTTAAGAAAAACAAGGGGGGCTACCGGCATCACAACATCTGGCTCCGAGGATCATCATCCGTCAGAGACGAGGTCCCTCCCCAAACTATTTTAATAA